TTGATACATATTTTATCCTCATTATTTGTCCATTTCTATTCCACATCATTTTGTTTCTGGTACTTTTAGCCATTTCGGCCGAAAAAGTACTTTATACTCAACAAAGGATTTTCTGATCTAGTGACAGTGACAACACTGGTCCTTGCTTTTAATCTCCCCTGGTCTATCTAGTAAGAGCGAAGCCACCTTTCTCTTTCCCTCCACGGGACCTTTTACCACTTTTGCTTCTAATACCACCTATAATATTTCAAATTTATTCAGTCTTGTTCTTCTCTGTCCAAATATCTTTGTCCTGAACCATCCAAAACAACTTCTTTCATCATTCTTAACCGTGTAGACCGAAAAGCCTCATACTCCTATCGCCTGTGTAAAAGTTGTGAGCCCCCTCTTCGCATAGTATCCCCCAACAGGAGAGTTCTGCTGCCTCTTTCCAAAGCTAAACTTCTACATACATCTCAGATTCCAAATTGTCAACACTATTTCTTTATTTTTACAAAAGATCCGGAGCTTTTTGCTTTCTCCCAAACTTTTCAATGAGGGGTAGCTTTCGACCACATTTTAGCATCCTTTCAAAATATTGTGCTACTCCCGCTGTTTGTCTAATTGTACCTTCGTCCCTTTCACCCCTCTGAGCCCCTGATCTAATTTTCCTAAATCTGCACTGTCTATTCTCTTTACATCTTCAAATTTCACCATATCCCGCTATAGCTTCTATTCCTAATAGGCCCTATTTTTCTCAACTTTCGTTAATTTTGCTCTGGAAATTTACGCAGTTTTCCAAGTTTACGTTGAAATATCTCCTCGTTGTCCTCAACATATTCTGATCACTCTGCGGTTTTTTGTAGTACTCTCAGCGTTCCGTCATTCCCAGCAAATCGCTTTGTCCTGGATTTTGTTATGAAGAGCCGCAGCATTTGGAGCCAGGATGATGAGATCATCAGCATATGCTATGTAGTGCAGAGGATGGCCATCGACGTAGATGGGGTCATGGGCTTCAAGAACATTGAGTATTTCATCCACAGTCATGATGAAGAGAAGCGGTGACAGAGGGTCACCCTGTTTGACTTCTCATGTTGGATGACAATTCACTTCGTGGAAGAGACTGTAGGAGTTGGAGTAGTAGTTTGTAAGATATTCTCTAAGCATTGGGGGCGCACCAAAACTCTCAGCCACCCTTAGAATTGTTTGATGTAAGACGCTGTCGAAAGCTTTCGAGATGTCGAGGATAGCTAATGCGCAACTTGTGTAGTTGGAGTGCGCTTCTCTCAAGATGGCGTGAAGTAGATTGGTTGCTTCGAAGCAGCCATCACGTTGCAGGAAGGCAAACTGTAGTTTTTCCATTGGGAATGATCTGGACCATCGCTTGGCGATAATCTCGTGCAGACAGCGCGTAACAGCAGAAGTGATGGAGATAGGCCGGAAGTCGGTAGGGTTATCGGGATGTGATGTCTTCGGAATGAAGGTGACCCTGGAAGCTGACAAAGGTGAAGGTAAAAAAGACGTCAGCAAAAGAGTGTTAAGATACCCAGCCAGACTAGTGGGGTTGATTTTCTGGAGGTCCCTGGCGGTTGTGCGGTCGACACCTGCGGCGGATTTGACCATTTCTTTTAGTGCCCATTTGATCTCATCAGTTGAAACTGGGGCGATCAAGTCGTTGTTAGTTGGAAGGTATTCCTGGACCGGTCTAGTGTCTGGTAGGGCTGGGCGTGTGAAGGTGTCTATCCAAAATTCATTGAAGCCTCCTATAGTGGAAGGCTGACATGTAAACGGGTCTCTCCACCTGCCACCAAGTACTGTGTTTGCAGCGTCTTTCGGCGAACGGTGGAAGAGCGTTTGCATGTGGGCCTATAGAATGCGTCGCCTCTTCTTGTCGTTTAAGTTCGGTGGGAGACCGGAGACGTATCGCTGCTTGGATGGTTTCCATTTTGTAGGGAACAGTTGGTGGGCCTGCTTATCCAAAGGTTGACGTGTCTCCTCAAGAGTAATATCATTCGCATATAGTCGCAGAATAATTTGTCGAGTGGATTCAGTGTCCAGCCGCTGAGATGAATTTTCCAGTTGTGTGCTGATGGCAGCCAGGAGGTTAGCGTGTATATTGTCCATCTGGAGGCTTCTATGAAGTGTCAGATTCACCAGGGGCGATCTCTTGAAAAAGGCGGGTCAGAAGGATATCGTAGTGCTAGTTGGTGACTTAAATGTGCAGGTTGGGCGTCTAAGCTCATAGGAGAATCGTGTGGGTGGTCAGTGCAGTTGACATGGTCGCGGGTCAGATAACGAGGACCGCCTACTATAACTTTGCGCAGATCACAACCCATTTCTAGCCAGCACCAACTTCCGGCACAGCCGTCGCCGTGGCGCTGCCGGGCGTCCTTCTTCCGCGAATCAAACTTGGACTCAGATTGATCATATTGCCGTCAGTTTCCGGTGGCGAGGATGCATGCAAGACTGTCGCCCCTTCTGGAGCACATGCCTGGACTCCGATCATGCGTTAGTGTGTGCCAAGTTCGTCTTGCGATTTGGTGGGGTTCATAAAAGGCGTCGTCTAAACGTTGATGTGAGCAAACTAGTAACACCTGCTACTTGTTTGAAATATCAGAATGAGTTACAATCAATGCTTGCCAGCAACCCTCCAAGTAGTATAGATGAACATTGACTTTATCTGCAAGACGCCATACAAATGGCGAGTGTATCCGCTTGCGGCTTGAAAGAATGCTTCGCTAAAACTCACTGGGTTTCTGTGAGTTCCTTAAAACTCCTGGGTGAACGCCGGTCCATTCCGGCTGGCAGCGAGTCCAGCAATAAGCGAAAGGTGCTTACGCGCAAGATTAGACAGAGTTTACGTAAGGACCACGAAGCCTGGTGGTCAGAACGTTCGTGTGTGATGGAGTCAGTTGTTGCATCTGCAACAGTCGGAAGCTGTTCCAGCTCATCCGAGCCACCGGCAGCAAGAAACAAGAGGTGTCAGCGAGGCGGTCTGAGGCAGATGGCACGCCCATTACCAGCATGAAAACACGCCTGAAACGTTGGGCAGAGCACTTCGAGAAACAGTTTAGCTGGCCACCAGCTTCAATGTCTGCTGTCATTAGCCCCAGTGCTCCTTGGTCGGTTAATACCGACCCACCCACCGAAGCGGAGGTCCGTAAGCAACTCCAAGTGTTAAAACGCCATAAGGCGCCCGGCCCAGACAATTTACCCCCGGCTCTTTCTAAAAATGGTGGCGAGACTCTCACAATGGCCTTAACTGGGTTGTTCAGGAAGGTATGGGAGACAGAGAGTGTACCATCAATGTGGAACGAAGCCATTATCGTCCCCATCTTTAAAAAGGGTTGACGTAATTCGTGTGACAATCATAGGGGTATCAGTCTGCTACTAGTCGTGTCTAAAATGTTGGCTGCTGTCTTGCTCCACAGGCTGTGCAAAACACATGAAGAATTGATTCGCGAAAAGCAGGCTGGGTTTCGTTCAGGTCATGGATGCATTGATCATGTGTTCACCCTTCGTCAGTTGTTGCAACATAGCCACACGTACTGCAGGCCAACGATCGTTGTGTTTCTTGATATTGGGGCTGCCTTCGATTCGTTGAACAGAACTGTGCTCTGGAACTGTCTTGTTAGAGAGAGGTGTACCTGAGAACTTTGTTAACATCTTGAAAGCCCTATGCAGAAACACCTCAAGTAGAGTTATGGCATGCAAGCAACTATCATCACTGTTCCCAACCAACAGTGGGATTAGACAGGGTTGCCCGATCTCTCCATTTCTCTTTAACTTTGCCATCGATGACATTCTGGAGTCAGCTCTGAAAGATGTTAGTGGTGGTGGTGGTGGTGGTGGTGTAGATCTGCTTTCTGAAGAAAGACTTCTCCACCTCGAGTATGCAGACGATACCGTCTTACTGTGCGATAGCACGCAGGCTACCCAATCGCACTTAAACAGTTGACGATCAGTGTCTGTATATATGGTATGTGCTTTGCACAGTCTGAGTGCAGAGTTCTGTTACTAGATTGGCAGGAGCCTGTACTTGCACTCACTCTTGCGGGTGAACCACTTGAAGTTGTTGATAAGTGAGGGGTGATGGATGAGATTTCCAACCGTATAATGAAGGCTAGCGTGGCATACATCAACTTGAGCCATCTCTGGTGCGACGTTAGGTTAGCTATCAAAGGCCGGGTATACAATGCTTCGGTGCGGGCTGTCTTGCTCTACGCCAGTGAAACCTGGCCTGTCCGAGCTGAGGATGTGCGGCGACTCTGCGTGTTCGATCATCGCTTTCTCCGCAGTATTGCTTGCGTTCGATGACATCATCGCGTGAGTAATTCTGAGGTTCGGCGGCGTGTGTTTGAACACAGTGGAGATCACCATTCATTGAGTGTCGTCATCTGGAAACACCGGCTTCGGTGGCTTGGGCATGTACTGTGAGTGTCATCCCAGAGGCTTCCGTACAGATCTCTGTTCGCTAGCCCTGGGGCGGGATGGAAAAGGCGGAGGGGTGGTCAGTCCATGACGCGGCGTCGTGGGATGAAGGATATTTGTGCTAGATTAGCATCGGTTGGTGCGTCTAGACTCTTTGGTTAGGGTCCGAGAGACAGCTCGAAACGTTATCGGATATGGCCAAGAATCGTAATCAATGGCGAACGTGTTGCAATTTCCTTCTTTCTTCCCTTCCTGATGATAGTTGACGAAAACTGCTTGAACTTGTTAAACATGACTGTTTTCCTTCCAGATGAGGTTCTTTATCCGTTCTTTACTTAAATTTTCACTTTTAATCTATGTTGTTTTATTACTATTGTGTGGTGCATCTTTCTTGGTGCCATATTGTACCAAGTTTTTCTGCGTTCAAACAATAATAATAAGTTTGCATTTCTAAGATTTTATTACTGATTCTGCCGAAGCTTACTTATTCGTAACAGAATGAAGTCCACCGAGTTTATTGCTGATCCAACGTTTCTAGTTGTCCTTTGACAATGGACGTTCAACGGGTTTTGAAACCGCTTTCTTAGCCTACCAGGGTTATGCCACCGAAAAAGTATTACCGGTTTTGATACGGCGTGTGTGGCATAAACAAGCGTGTTCAGTAAAGTAAATTGTTTTCATTATGGAATGGAAAAATATTTGTGAATTTTGACAAAGCGACACATAATGTACTTTTCTAACGTGGATGTTATTACTTTGAAAAATAAAACGTTTCCAAACCTCTGGTTCCATCACACTTCATATTTAAAACTGAGGTAGATTACACCTCATGAACGCACGCCGTTCACTAACAATTGAGTTATTTTTAATCTTACACTCTTACGTGTTTTTTTATCTTTGTAGTCATCCACCTCGCCTTGTATTTGATGTTCCTTCGAACGATTCGAACTGGCTGAATGACGATTTTATGTTTACTACAAAGCCATCAGTTGATTTCAGAGCAGCAAATGATTCAACTAGAATAGACTTGAACAAAGGTGATTCACGTTTAACACCAGCAACATTTGTTAGCTATGCACCGTCAGCAGGATATGGTGAACCACTACCCTGGGATATCGTTGACTGGCAATTGAATAATGATGGATTTGAAAAGTTATGGAGTAGTCAAAACTCAAATGTAATTCCAAGTATATCTGCGAGTATCAAAGCAACTATCGACCCTACAGATATACTTGTTGATGCTGTTCATAATTTCCATCCTAATTATCGTCATTATACTCAGGTAATCTTTCATCGGATTATGCTACCATCCTGTGCTTGCATATGCCGAAACAGAGAATCAATAATGAAATGTGATAAACACTCGGACTTCTAATTCCTAATGATTAGATTGTTTTAGAAACATTGTCAAAAGTTGTCTTGCGACCCAGCTACTCAGTGCAAGATTTTTAATCTTCTAAACTAAATTGAGATGAATCACAATAATCGCTGGTTTCTTAGAGTGACTTCGAAACCACCTGTTTCGACACTGCTTACTTTTGTTTGGGTTACCGGATTGTATTCTCATGTCTTACAAAAACATTTTGTGTGCCATTTAATTATATCTAATAATTTAGAATTGATTTAGTCAAAAAGTTAAGGAAGTACACAGTGGTGATTGTACTGTTGGACAAGCTACCATCTACTCATGTCTTCAAATTCCATTAAGAAATACTCTGGATCTCTAGGCCCAATACATTAATTGTGTTTGCAAGATATACAACGTGGATGAGTTGTCGTATATTATTTATTAATTTTTTTCGAAGGGATTAATGTAACTGTTGATCTTGTAGCTTATTGTTGTAATAGCATGATGTTTCAACTGAAGGAAACAGTAACGTCAAGTGCGTTAATCACTGGATTAACCATAATAGATAAACTATCTCTGCTTTTACCAGGCTAGAAAGCTCACTGCGCCACTGACTAGCACAAATAAGTGGAATATGTTATTCCCTACTTATATGTAGTCGCTGAACATTATGTTTTGCTTCTTTTTCTACAGACACAGATGGATTAAGACAGTTGAAGATGCACGACAGTTCTCCAGATAAGGTACAAATCATTTGACTTCTGCAGAATACATTCTACCAAGAGGATAATTTAATATGTACATCAATTAGTCACTCAAGTATTGAATGCTTTTTTCAATGATATATTGACCATTCAAATACGCTGGAGTCTTTCTATGCCTTATTCCTAAAAGCGTTTATTTTGTTTTCCTTCTTTAAATGAGTGGAAGCATTCTCAGACATGATATTCGATTCCAATAATCAATTGCAAACTTCTCGTTCCTTGGTTTGCTTCCATTGACCTTGAAATTTTATCTTGTCTTGATTGAATATGTAAATATATTTTCAGTGGATGGAGATTAATACCTGCTGTTGTGGTTTGCTGGTGTTTCAGTTATTTAAGTGATATTTTTGGCACAATGCTATACAGCATAGTGGTGTTTTCGGTTAAGTTCTGTCTCCGGCAGAATAGGACCATAATGAACAGAAATCTACGGTTTAAGCAATAATTAAGTAGAGAAACACGAGGAACTGGGACGTCATAAAAAGTGACTGCATCACCACTGTTGAGAACGGTTTTGAGCCACATCACTGATGGTCTCCAGCTATTGATCCTTGGAATCTCGAGAGCCCCACAAGGTAGTATGAACCTTCCCGCGTACCGCCAGCAAACAGTCAAATACTTCATGGATTGATGCCATGTTTTGATTTGACCACTTATAAATCTTTCCCAACCTAATCCCATGCCATCTTACATTGCACAAGAAGGAATGCCACCTCTAGGTATGAAAGTACGGCAATAGTTAGACGCTAGTAAGTATCTGCATATTCCAGAGTCTGTTGGAGCGTGATGAAATGAGGAATTCCCGACCGATGCCTGCTACCTTGACATGATGGCCGAGCTTGCAGACAGAAGACATCTGCGCCGGGTTACACGAGACAGTTGTTTGAGCTCATCAAAGAAACTGGTTGTGAGAGACAAATGATGAGCGAGACTAACTGTGAGGAGAACGTCGTCTTAACTATCTCTCAAGATAGAAGACTGGCCTACCGTCAAGCTCAGTTCGATCAACATCCGAAACCTAACTGAGTGTTATTTAGACGTCGGGCCTCCAAATAAAAGTGAGCTTGGAAAAGCTGTTTCTAATCTGAAAATATGCAAGGCAGCTGAACCTGATGCGACGACTTTTCATAGATTTTTAACAATGGTGGTGACGAAATTTTATCTGGGTTAACTAAGATAATCGGTAATGTTTGGTACAGGTGAAAATCACTGATTATCCCGGTTATAAGAAGAGACAAGCCTTCCTGTGATAATCATATAAGGTTGACTTGACTACCATACAGTCTGAACCTCCAGGTTAGAAACGAACCCTGAAAAGTCAGGTGGAATTTAGTCCGGGAATAGTGTCACTCACCATATTTGACTGTCTGTCTGAACAATAACAGAGCTTTTCAGGTTGCAATACACAGAGGTAGACAAACGATAGAAAAGCAGTTATTCAAAGAAATAGATAAAAAATGAATGCATCCGCGCCACTGACAACGATTACAAGCTATGTCACAAATATCCTCAAGCCATTCATTCTTAACATCTTCAGGATGCTGACCCGACAAGCAGCCTATGGCTCACTACGCGACTCTTACATCTGCCAGGGGCGAATACCATTCCAAAGACTCGAAGATTTCTGCTCAAGTTGTTGGGAGGACTGCATTTTGTCAGAGTCTTCACCTAGGAGGAAAATGTCATCCACATACTCTATGTCGATGAAACTGTTCCTTGTTACATTACTTTGACCGTTAACTAGTTAAGCTTTATGTCTGAAATATGTTAAGTGGCAAAGAGATCACTGAGATAGTAAAACGCCACGACTGATGCACTGTATTCTAAGTCGAGGCTAGTATTACATTCCCCAACTTGCGTTATCTCTGTTGTTGGTATGACATCTGACTATGCATTGAAGGAGGTCTGCTGGCTGGATGGCTGGATTCAACAGGGAACTTGGCACCGAAGTGCAGCAGTTCGAGTTGCCACGTTCCAAAGAGCACACAAAAGTAGACAAGAAGATGAGTGAAGGGAATCAATAGAGTTTTGACAAGTATAAGAGTGAAACAGAATGAGTAATGGTAGAAAGGAATATGCAATATTACAGAGACTGAATACATCTGCGCCATTGACAACGATTTTGAGACATGTCACCTAGTGGCTCCAGCTACTGATTCTTAGAGTCCCGAGGGCCCCAACACGGAAGTCTGCATCTCCCTACCTGGCTCAGTTTGACTGTCAAGGATTTCATGGATTGATGCCATGTTTTTGTTTGGCCACCACTTACTCTTTTCCAACCTGCACCTATATCAGCTAGTAATGCCCGTCGGGGGAGGCGATGGGTAGGCGTGAGCAGCACGTGACCTAGCCATCTCAGTCTATGTAACTTTATAGCCTCGTCGATTGATTTTCCCTCTTTGCCCAACACTACGCCTAACGTTAACATTACTTACTTTATTATGCCACCTAATGTGACAAAGAGATCGTAGACATCTATGATCGAAAACAGTCAACCTTTTCATGTCTTCAACTCGTATTGGTCATGTTTCAGAGCCATAGAGAAAGATGGAGCGAAATACTGAGCAGTATACACGTCCCTTGGTTGATAGCCGGATGTCACGCCTACGCCAGAGATGGCGTAAGTTAGCGAAAGCAACTCGAGCTTTTTGGATCCGTGCTGAGATTTCGTCGTCAATCAGTCCGTTGGTGCTGATACAACTTCCCAAATAGGTGAAGTGGTCAACATGTTCTATCACTTCATTCTCTATCACTAAGCTGGGAGTTGACGTAGTCCAGTCCTGTAGCAGCATCTTACATTTTACAGGGGCGAATCGCATGCCAAACATACGAAGATTGCTGCTCAATGTGTTCAGAAGACTCTGCATTTTGTCAGCATCCTCCCCTAACAGGACTATGTCATCTGCATATTCTAAGTCCATAAGACTATTCCCTGGTAACAAGTCGATTCCTAAGTCGTTAAGTTCAGTTAAGGATACTTCCATTAGCATATCTATGATGAAGTTAATCAGAAAAGGGGAAAGTGGACATCTTTGACTGACACCACTGGTTGTTATCAATTCAGATGACAATTCCCCACAAGCCCTTACACAGGTACGTGAGTTTGAGTAGAGTGCCTTGATTAGTGCAATGTACTTCCTTGGCACTCCCTTCACAGTCAAACATTGCCATAGTACCTTTCGATCCACGGAGTCGAAGGCCGCCTTCAAGTCAAGAAGTATGGCAATTGTTGGCTGCCTAAAAGTGTGTCTATGTTCTGGGATCTGTCGGAGAGTGAAGATATGATCTATGCACCCTCTACCTGGCCTAAAGCCTGCTTGATTTTCCCTCGTTTGTTCCTCCCGAGTTCGACTTAGCCTGTGCATGATTACTGAGCCTAGGATTTTAGAGACTATGTTCGTCAGGCTGATTCCTCTAAGATTATCGTATGAGGACTTGTCTCCCTTCTTGAATATTGGTATAATAAGTGACTTACCCCAATCTGATGGAACCGTCTCTGATTCCCAGACGTTACCTAGTATCTTAGTTAAACTATATACTAGTGTGTCACCCCCATATTTATACATCTCCGGAATAATTCCGTCGGGTCCTGCCGCTTTGCCTCGTTTCAGATTACAGATAGCTTTTGTGACCTCACTTACAGACGGCGGGCCAGTGTCTATATCCCATTCGGGTGTGTGCTGGATGGTGGGGAGGCTCAGTGTGGCTGCAGGCAAGTTAAATTGTTCCTCAAAGTGTTCTTTCCAGCGTTCAAAGCGTCTATCCTGAGAGCTAATAAAGGAGCCATTTTTCTCAGAAATGGTCTCACATTTTCCTCTAAACGTCTCTACACCTGTGAAACATGGTTGTTGAAATTCGCTAGCATAATAATTCAGTAGAAGCATTAGTTCCCGGCATATCAAGTCGTTGGTTCACTGTAACATGCAAGCCTGACCAGCACTTTAATGTCGGGAAGTGTCAGTAGCATAGATATGTATGTTATTCTGTTGGTGAACGAGACATGTATGTGTCTAGCGGCATTGCACATTTCTAATATTGAAAAATTATCGTATACTTTTCAAGTCGTGGGAAATAGGTTAGAGCACGTGTGTACAGCTTTGACTTCCATTTTCGTGATGTGAGGGATGATTTGGATAAGCTGTTAGGTGTCAATCGATATCGTGTTTTCGATTTTTCAGTTTGGCTCCATTATGGATAAGATTTTATTTTGATAAATCACACATTGTTACACAACAATATTAACTGATGACGTTTCCAGCACAAATTATTGCTCATAATCATATCAAGTTACTCACACAACTCTTATCCATAATGGAGTTACACTCTACCACAGTGCTCAAGTTTTATACTTCGATTCTCAGTTTGACGTCTATAAATTCCAGTAATGCGTACATTTTCTCGCTTCCTGGCTCTGTGAACT